ACGGGCAATAAGGATACACGACATCAACTAGCCACCAAGAGACACGACCAATTCTCACTGATCTCAATACACACGGACAAAGGACACAAATTCAACTGGGACAACACATCCATAATAGCGCAAAGCCAAACAAGACATGCCAGGGAATTCCTGGAGGCGTGGCATTCCAACTGGAACTCTGTCAGCAAACACATTGAACTGGACCCGATATATAAACCACTGAGAACAGAACTGGAAGTAATACCAACCATCCCAGCAAACCGAGGCATATAAATAACATGCGGGACGAACACCAAAGTTTCACTAGAGGCGCACTAATGATGTTACCTAGCAGGGTGACAAAATGTCTGCAACCAAACACACCGGCTCGACAAGCAAGTCTACAACCACAAAATTAGATTAACCGGGCACCATTTCACTGGCATAATGTTGAGGCAACATGGCCACTTAGTTGCCTATGTAACAAGTAACTAATCCTCCAGCAGCTGTTCACTGTGAGAAGATATTTACAGTTTAGATGGTGTTTAAACTCTGTCTAAAGTCAGGACTTTCTCAAGGCTTTGTTTCTCCTAAGTTTTAATGTGGAACCAATAGCTACATTAGGTTGATACCTGAACTCCAAGGATTAAATTAAGTGGAGAGATTACACAATCTATATCCCTTGGAGTTTACAAAGAATAGGGGTCGATTTGATCAAAGTTTTCAAGGCATCAAGGAGAACAAATTGGTTAGACAAAAATAAACTCTTTCTATTGATGGGGGAGTCTAGATCAATGGGGAATGGTCTTAGAATTACAGCCCATACTTTCAGGAATGAAATTTGGAAACAGTGCCACAGAATGGCTGATAAATGTTTGGTAACTTCTGGCAGTTGATACTGGATTAATTTTAAACATGATATTGTTGGATTTTTGTTCATTGATCTCATTGGTTGATGGAACGGGCTCTAGGAGCCAAATGATCCACTCCTTTTCGTGTGTTTTGAGTTGACTGTTTTCGTGACATTGTCAGCTTTCATAGAGATTAAAAGTGACCAGTTATTGCCACATAAATGCAAACTGTTGCAATAATTTGCGTCAATGAATTATTCAACATAGTGACTGTAGCCAGGTCAATGTTGTGAAATTGGTTGGTGTTAAATGTACAGGTCCTGCCTATTTGGCCTAAACTACCTGTGGGATAGTGACATAACTGCAACTGTTAACCCTGCTATTTGGATAGATCTGAATAAGACCATTTCAGCTGGATGAGGGAGGCATCCACTCCCACCGGATGTAGTTCTAGCTAAAAGTGATTCAGAATGGAGATAGCAAGAACTGCAGATGCTGGAGTCAGAGTTAATACAGTGTGGAGCCGGAGGAACACAGCAGGTCAGGAAGCATCAGAGAAGCAGGAAAGCTGACATTTC